GGGCCCCACGGGCCGAGTGGGACCCGCCGAGGACCAGGCGTCCAAGGGGATGAGGGTCGGGCGGCCTGGGGGCGGATTCGAACCGACGCCCCGGGGAATGTAAGTGTCACTTGGGAACTCCTAGCATGTTCAGCCCAGTCCTGACTTCAAATGCTCCTCTGTCGGCGCCGTCCTTCTGCCCTTCTTCCGCCCTCTGAACATTCCAGTGAGTGCACGTTTCACCAACTTATCCCTTCCAGCTCTGGCGCCCAAAGCCCGGGGGACCCTGGACCCTCGTCCAGCAAAACCTTCTCTCTCCCACCTTCTGCCCAAGAGCTCCAAGTCTCAGTAGACCGAGAAGAGGAAACGGAGGCGCCTATGGAACCTGAGCCAGGCGGAGACTGGGTCGCTTCATTTTGGCCCCGGGTCGTTTGGAGTCTGATTCTTCTCAAGAATCCGCAAGGGCTCAGGGCTGCCAGACCCCTAGGGACAAGCAGAATCCGAAGCTTTGAGCTAATGGGAAAGCGTCTGAAAATAAGGTCGCTGCAGAACCGCACAGGCCTCTTACCAAGACTGCCTCGCCGTCCAAGCGCATTCAGATCCCTGCCCAGGAAGGAGGATCCTGCGGTGCTACCCCTTCTGCGACCGCACGGTCACTCCACGCCGGGCCCTGCAGGGCCGGGGGGCGTGGAGAGACAAGGATGCGGGCCAGTTACAGAAAATCAAGGCAGAGGGAAACATCTGAAAAACACTCTCAATGGTCATCTCTGGAGACAGGAGCTGGGGGTGACTCTTCTATTTTTAAATGTGTTGTCAAAGAGTTAAGATGTGTGGAAAGTGCAAAATTAATGACAAATTGAGCACCCATGTATTCACCACCCAGCTTTAATGACAATATATTAGCAATACTTGTGTCTCCCTAACTGGTCTCATTCCTTCATTTCCCCTGCAACCTGCTCACCAGATAACCAGAACAGTTTTCTGAACTTGAAGTTACTCATTTCCATGCAATTCCTTATAGTTTTATTATATGTGTATATGTCCCTCATCGATACATGACACTGTTTCAATGCATTTGTATACTTTTAAACTCTGTGAAAGTGGAATTGTGTTGTTTGTGTTCCGCAGAACTTGCTCCTACACCTTAACATTTTGCTTTATAGATTTGTCCGTGTGTTTAGATCGTTCATTTTCACTGCTGTATGATCTGGGTCATTCCTGCTCACCTTGCCATTCATTTCCCCTCAGTTCTCAAATTATTCAGGTCTCCCCTAACTTATCCTGCAGAAAAACCTCGGCCCCACTAGCTTCCAGGTCATAATTACTCCAGCACAATATTTGCATTTCTGGTCACAGCCCTCCTCTCCCACACCTCCTTCTCAAGCTTCTAGAGGGTCACCAGAAAGGAAGTACAGTGGGAAGATGTACTTCCAGCTGTTTGCACCTTTGTTTGGAGTGGGAGGAGAGTGAGGGCAGACTTGACTTATTCTGAGGATTAACTCAAGTGTAACGGTACAAACTTTAGGTTTGCTTTAAGAGTAGGAAATGTCAAGAGCCATAACTGATTCTCTCTCTCTCTCTCTCTCTCTCTCTCTCTCTCTCTCTCACACACACACACACACACACACACATACACACACACACACACGCACACACAAACGCACACACACATAGTCAGTGCAATATTTACTTCCCCTCCCCCCAATAAGCTAAACAGGAAGCAAGCTAATGAGAAAGGAGGCTGTAAGTTAAAGGGACATATGGCCTTATTAGGTACAGGCAGTCTCTGGCAGAAAAATAATCATTGTATTAGTGTAAAACCTAGGCCAGTTGTGTGTCAGTGACTTCTGACAACACAGTTTTCTTCCTCCGATAAGCACAATGAGGCTGGAGGCTACACACCATGGCCTGCAGGTCCTCTACTACAGAAAACCACTTCTGCTTTCTCTGTGAGAGTCACAGGGATTCTGATGCTGGGCCTCAATGCTCAGTGGCACTGTGGCTGGCCAAGTTTTTTTTTGCAAAACGCTTTACTAGCAGACTCAGGGTTACAACAGACAGGCGTCTCAGCATAGGGCCTTATCAGTACATCCACAAACTTTCTCTCGAACCCAAACAACTTGTTTATAAAATTCATTTTTTCAGGCAAACACATATTTTCAATTTTTTAAAACTTTTACTGATAATAACAATTTTTTAGACTCAAGGTGTCACACTGTCGCCCAGGCTGGAGTGCATTGGCACAATCACAGCTCACCTGGGCTCAGGTGATCCTTCTGCCTCAGCCTTCCAAATATCTGGGGCTACAGGCACGCATCACCATGCCCAGCTAATTTTTAAATTTTTTTTTATAGAGATAAGGCTTTGCTATGTTGTCTAGGCTAATCTCGACCTCCTGGGCTCAAGCAGTCTTCTTGCCTCAGCCTCACAAAGTGCTGGGATTACAGGTGTGAGTCACCTTGCCCAGCCTAACAATTTTTAAAATAAATTTTACATAAGCATGTCTATGACATTTCTTTTTTTTTTTTTGAGTTGGAGTCTCTGTCACCCAGACTGGAGTGCAGTGGCTGCTCCCGGCCACCACAGCCTCGACCTGCTGGGCTCCAATGATCCTTCCGCCTCAGCCTTCCAAGTAACTGGAACTACAGGCGCGTGCTACCATGCCCAGCTAATTTTTGATTTATTGTAGAGATGAGGAGTCGACAAATTGCCCAGGCGGGTCTCGAACCCTCAGGCTCAAGCAATCCACTCACCTCCCAAAGCGCGGTGTTACAGGCTGAGCCACCGAGCCCGGCTTATGACATTTCTTAAGAACAATGTTTGCCATTTCACAAACTGGGGTGAAACTGTTGTCAAAATAAGTTTAGTTGCAGGAAGATTGAGGTAGTCTTTGCCAGTGTAAAGTGTGTATAACAGAGAGAACAGAAGGAAAAATCTTGACTCTCAGCACCCACAATAAGGTCCAGGAGTGTCCTAATGTTTTTTCCTGTCCCTGAGAGTGATTAAGCTTTTCCTGAAGAATCTCAGTCAGGTCCAAGCTTGATTTCAATGAAGTCCATAGTATAATTTGCTCTCATAGGTACAGCGAAATGAAAGTGTGACTCCGAATTTTCTCTCTGCACCCTCCCTCACATCTTCAATACACTGAAAATATTTACATTTTCACTTAGTCTCAAAGCATCTCCCCCAAGACACTTTATTTATTACAAAGGAAAATATAATGATTTTACAAAGAAGCCTAAACTATCTTGTTTGTTTGTTTGTTTTTGTTTTGTTTGTTTGTTTTTGTTTGTTTGTTTGTTTTGTTTTCAGTTGGAGTCTCACTCTGTCGCCCAGACTGCAGTGCAGTGGCACACTCCCGGCCACTGCAGCCTCGACCTGCTGGGCTCCGGCGATCCTTCCGCCTCAGCCTTCCAAGTAGCTAGAACTACAGGCGCGTGCTACCACGCCTGGCTAATTTTTGATTTATTGTAGAGATGAGGTCTCGCCAAGTTGACCGGGCAGGTCTTAAACCTGCAGGCTCAGACAATCCACTCACTTTGGCCTCCCAAAGTACTGGGATTGTAGGCTGAGCCACCGAGCCCGGCCAGCCTAAACTATCTTACCTTAACCAAATGATCAAAGTTAACATCATCTATAATAGCAAAAATAAAATTGCGTGCCTCTAAAAAGAACACATTTTCATTCTTTCACATTTCTGGCCAAACAAAACACCACAATGTGAATCACACTACAAGGAACCATTAGAGGGTATGGCAGTGTGTGTTTGTAGTCCCAGCTACTTAGGAGGCAAAGGCAGGAGGATTTGTTGAGCCTAGGAGTTTGAGACCAGCCTGGGCGATACAGTAAGACCCTGTCTCAAAGAAAAGAAGAAAAGGAAATATTAGACAAATGCAAATCCAAACTGAAGCACTGTTCCAGATTGAAGAATACTGAAAAGACATGACTTGCAGGGGTCCTGCTCCCGCCGGGTGTGAAATTTCCTGAAGGAGAGACGAAATAGGTGAAAGAAGGAACTTACAACGAAATGATATACTTGAACACCTGCTTGCAGGACAGATGTCATTTAATGTTAG